ACAGAAAAAGTTCGACTTGTGTCCTTTTGTCCCCTTGTGTCCCCTCTGCCCCCTCTGTCCCCTTTGTCCCTTTTTGTCTCTTTTGTCCCCTTTGCTCTCTCTGTCCCCTTTTGTCCCCTTGTGTCCCCTTGTGTCCACTTTGCTCCCTCTGCCCCCTTTGTCCCTGTTTGTTCCCATTTGTCCCCATTGCTCCCTCTGTCCCCTTTGTCCCCTGTTGTCTCTTTTTGCCCCCCCTTTGTCCCCATTTTGCCCCCTCTGCTCCCTCTGTTCCCCTTTTGTCCCCTTTTGTCCCCCTTTTGTCCCCGTTGCACGGGGCGTCGCAGGCCCCATTGCGAGAGAAAAAGGCGAAGTGTGTCCAGCAAGGGTTTCTGAGCTGTGGCGTTTCCCGCATATTGACGGGCCAACTAGATTGCTAGCGGGGGCCCTTGGCCCAGGGCACCCGGGTTGTATGATCGTAGGCGCGGAGGTGCACACAAGCGACAATGTGCTCATAGGCGATAGGGCGCTCATACGTTTTGCGGTGCTCTCAGGCTTTGGCCGATGCTTCTAACAGAAGTACCTCCTCCTCCTCCTACCCCGTCCTCCTCCTCATCCTCCTCCTTGGAAGAAAAACTGTGCAACTTTTTGGGTCTCGTTTGAGCCGCGCGCCCGCAGCAGGTAGCGCTACTGTTGAGGGAATGAATTAAGCAACACTTTTGTACGCCGCCTGCGATCCCTCCCTCGCTCATCCTCGTCGTCGTGGTCGTCGTCAGGGCAGGTGTCAGTTTCGCCATGACATACACCAGCTGCCTGCGGTAAATCCCGCCGCCGTGCCAACCCTTATGAATCTCACTCGGACCGTCTTGTGGCAGCCACAACTTGAACAAGAACCAGAGCAAAACCATAACCAGAGACAGAACCATAACCAGAGCCTGAACCCGATCACGAACCAGAACGATACCCAGATCCAGAGCCAGAACCGCAGCCTGAACCACAACCAGAGCCGGAACGAGAACCAGAGCCAGAACCACAGCCGGAACCCGAACCAGAGCCAGAACCATAACCACAGCCAGAACCATACCCAGAACCAGACACCGAGCTTCACCCGCAGCCAAAGCCAGAACCAGCACCAGAGCCGCGGCCAGAATGGTACCCAGAGCCAGAGCCAGAGGTAGGCCGCAGCCAGAACCACAACCATAACCACAACCAGATCCGAAACCGGAGCCACAGCCAGAACCAGAATCATATCCAGAACGGTAACCAGAGCCAGAACGAGGGCCAGAACCATAACCAAAGCCACAGCTACAACCAGAGCCATAACCATAATCATATTCGTAAACCGAGCCAGCGCCTGACCTAGGCCACGTCAGGCCTAGGGCCAGACCCACAGTTAGAACGAAAGCCAAAGCCAGAACCCCAGCCATAACCAGAATCGCAACCATAATTGCGAATGTTCTCGGGGCCGCGCTCGCAGAGTTTGGCCCGAGCATTTCGGTGAGCCTGCCGCTACCGGCGAACGTGCAAGTGATTCTTCTCCAGTGACTTGAGAGATGCCCGTGCTCGGCTCCGCTGTGAAGCTCCAGTACCGCACGGAGATGCGGGCCTCATGGGCCATCGTGGACGGCGCATTCGAGTCCGCGGTCATACTGGGGCCGCGCGCGGCGCAAGTGCTTTTGCGCCACAGTACCCGGGCATCCCACCATGAGTTCCCGTACGCCCTCAGCGTCATGGCGGGGCTGGTGGCGTGCACGAACGGTGCCGAAGTCGCTGTCTTCCCCGGCCCCGCGAGTCCTTTGATGTTCTCCGTGATCAACGTCAACTACCCGCAGACTCGGAAGTCTTCCACGCACAGCTCCATGCGTGAAGTGTCTAAGGAGATCGACGGGCGGAGCAAAGACAGGGCTAAGGGCATCGTGCGCGACGGGCTCCACGCAGAGCAAGGGGCGCTCGGGGGGGGACCTGCGGGACCGCCGCCCGCGCAGGTCAATTCGGCGACCTTGACTTCCTTCACGAACGCGGCGTTCTTCCAGCGCTGCGCGGGAGATTGGGGGCAAGTACGGAATGGTGCCGAACTCGGATGCCCGGGCCGAGTGCACTTTGGCACTCTCATCAACGTGGACGAGGCTTACAAGATGCTTCGAATGATTGGCCTCGCGAGCGCTGGTGGCGCGGCAAGCAAGGGCGGCGACGCTCTGGATGTCACAGACGCGGCCAGCGAGTTCAACCGCCTCCTGCAGACTGGCACTGCGAGCTACACAACGAAGAACGCAGGTGCGTACGGCGAGGCGGCCGCGCCAACCATCAGTATGGGCGTCCTCGGGAACGGGCGCCCCTCAGTCATCATTCCTATGGAGAGGGGCGACATTGGGTCCAACCACGTCGCAGCGAAAGAGCGATTGCTCTTTGTCACTGGCCGTCCAGTGGAGCCGCACGCCCCGGTGCCCGCCCGGCTGCAAGTTCGGACCGGGGAGGTTTTCAAGCCGTGGGCGTGGCCGAAGTTGCTGATGTGCATGATCGGCCCGTTGGGCTTGCCGGCTGAAGTCGCCGCGCCAGCGGGGGCCAGGGCGAAGCTCCAGCGGGCCCGGCGGCGCCCAGACTGCGGCGACGAGTCCGACGACGAGGGCGACGCGGACGACGCTTTCGACCCTGATGCCAGCGGCTACATGATAGAGCTCGTGGACGGCGCGGCCAGCCGTCTGCGGTTCCGGAAACGGCACGGCGAGCGGGGAGAAGTCGCTTGGGTCGCGGAGCACAGGGTCGCGAACAGGGCCGTCCCCATCCCGGAGGACATGACCATGAAGAGGCTTGCGGAGCGCGTCTTGGAGTACTTCTCGGCGCCGCACGCCGTCATTCCTTGGGCCGAGGACGCGTTGCTCGCCCACAAGGGGCTCTGCGTCTGCTTCGACGCGGAGTGCGCAGTGCGGCGCGACGATGGCGACGTGGAGGAGGCGGCGCGCCTCGGGGCAGCCCCATGGCACCTGGCAATGCTGTCCTCCGCTCTGTTGGTGCTGGAGATCGCTGTCGGCGAGCGCGACGGCACGGCCGACTTCCGCAACCGGTGCCTGCGCGTTCAGGAGGCGCACGTCGTGCGGGGGTTCGACTTGATCCGCCTGTGCCACGATGTCCGGAAAGCTTGGCAAGGAGCCCGAGGGCGGCGAGGGCGCACCTGGCGGCGCGGGGGCGGGCACTTCCCCAGCCGACGTCGACCCCCCCGTCCACCCCGCTGGAGCCCCGCGCGGCGGGGCGCCCGCGGCAGCGCCGGCGCAGCCGCTGATGCTCTTGAAGCCGGGCGATCCGGAGGTGCCCAGCATGGACGTCGGGCACGGGGGGGGGGGCGCGCAGGTGCAGCGGCCCGACGATGGAGCTGTGATCTTGAAGGACCGAGAAGTGATGAAGAAGACGCTCATGCGTGGGGGCGCACGGGTCTTCTGCCCGGACGCGTGCGACAGCATCTCCGTGGTGTCGGCGGGCGAGGGGGCCAAGCGATCCAGGAAGGCATTGTGCAGGGCGCACTGGGAAGCCGTCATGCGCGCAGGCCTGGAGAAGTACCGCGTCGGCACGTTCGTGCACCGCACCGACTCCGAGGTCTGGATGGGCCACAACCAACTCGCCTCACCGATCGCGCTCGCGCCCCGGCCAGCCCCCGGACCAGGATTGGGGCGCGCGCGCCTCCGCGGTCGCGCCGGGGGGGCGCGCGCGCGGATTCTGGGCCCATGGGGGCGGCGGGGGCTTCCCGTGATCGGCGAGGCGGATAGTTGATGTCCCCCGAGAGGTCCCCGAGCGCCGCGGCCACTCATGCGTCGACCTGCAGGCACCCCCGCAGGGCGACGCGGCGGCCGCGGGCATGTTCCACAACCGCCTCATGGAGATGTGCCAGTTGGGTTTGGCGACATACATGGAGTGCGCGTCGAAGAGAGCGGAGAAGCAGTCGGCTAGGCCGCCGAAGAAGCGCGCTCGGGGGGCCGCTGCCGACCCGGCCGCCGGCGCAGCCGAAGAGCGCGCCGGGGGCGCAGCCGGCCCGGGCGAGGCGGCAGCGGGCGCGCCCGCGCGCGCCGGGGGGGGCGCTTCCCTGAGTGCGGAGGCTGCGGGCGCGCTCGCGCCAGGCGAGTAGTTTTGCTGCTCGTGCACTCCCAGCGGTCGCGCGTCGATCGCGCTAGCGATCCCTGCGTGCACATGGGCTGGTCGTCGGCGGGGCCCCGACGGGGGGCCGCGGCGGCGGGGGCCATTGGCACTGCACGCTTCGATTGATGCCGTGGAAAAAACAGCGGGGCGGCGGGGGCGTGGCTAGCGCGCATTGACGAGCCCGGCCGCCCCATCCGCGCTGGGCGGTCGCCCGAGGGAGGCGGGGGGCGGGGGGCCCAAGCCGTCGGGCGGGGCGAGAGACAGAGAGAGAGAGAGAGAGAGAGAGAGAAAAAATAAAGAGAGAGAAAAGAAAAGGGGGGAAAGAAAATAGAGTGATAGAGAGAGAGAGAAGAGAGAGACAGAAGACAGACAGACAAGAGAGAGAGAGAAGAGAAGGAGAGATCACTTGAGAAGAGGGGGGGGGGGGGGGGGGGGTGGGGGGGGGGGGGGGGGAGGGGGGGGGGGGGGGTGGGGTGGGGGGGGGAGGGGGGGGGGGAGGGGGGGGGGCGGGGTGGGGGGGGGGGGGGGGGGGGGGGGGGGGGGGGGGGGGGGGGGGGGGGGGGGGGGGGGGGGGGGGGGGGGAGGGGGTGGGGGGGGGGGGGGGGGTGGGGAGGGGGGGGGGGGGGGGGGGGATATATAACAGAGAGAGAGAGAGGGATAAACAATTCGGCAAGTAGGGCAGACGGTAGGCAAGTAGGGCAGACGGCGCGAGAGACAGAAACCTCGGAGAGAGAGAGAGAGAGAGAGAGCGAGATAAGAGAGGAGAAGAGAGAGAGAGAGAGACAGACAGACAGAGAGAGAGAGAGAGAAGGAGAGTCACGGTGAGGAAGAGGGGGGGAGATAGAGAGACAGAGAGAGAGAGAAAGAGGGAGAGGGATACACAATTCTGCAAGTAGGGCAGACGGCGCGAGATACAGACCTCGGTGAGAGAGAAAGAGAGAGAGAGAGAGAGAGAGAGAGAGAGAGAGAGAGAGAGAGAGAGAGCGAGAGAAAGGGACAGAGAAAAAGAGGGGGAGAGGGGGAGAGAGAAAGAGAGAGACAGAGAGAGAGAGCGATACATTTATAAATTATATAGATATATATATATATACAGAGAGATTGTGGAAGTAACACGCCCTTTTTTTTTAATTTTATTTTTTATTATTTATATATTATAGATGTAAACATATTTATATCACATAAGTAAGTATTTAACGAGAGAGATATATACGAATACACGGCGGGAGCGAGACAGGGGCGGGCTGGCAGAGGTTGCGAGGGCGAGCCGCGATTGCCCAGCGGCGGCCTGCGCGCAAGCCCCCGGAGGCGGGTCGGCGCGGCAGGGGGCATGGCGTTGCAGGTGCCTGGCGGGCTGGGCACGATACCGGCGAAGCTTGTTGCAGATGCGCTCGCAGCACATTGCCCGGAGCTCCTCGGCGCGGCGCCCCAGGTCGCCGCGGCGCTCGCGGCCGCGGGTTTCCAGCCGCCCCAGAGGTGCGCGCAGTGCCCGGGAAGGATCTGCACGGGGTGCGACATGGCCATGCAGGTGTGCTCGTCCAAGAGCGTTGACGCGAAAGTGCTCTTCGTCGACGGCTGGCAGCGCGTCACCCGCGCGCCCTTGCGATGCCGCTCGAAGGAGTGCAGGCTGTCTGGGCGTTATGTCTGGCACAATTATTGGAGCGAGTCGGAGGCAGGCACGGAGCACCATTTCTGGTCATGGCCGGAAGGCGCGGAGATGCAGTACTTCTTCTGCACGGCCGGCTGGGGCGCGACGACTGCGTGTCTGCGGCAGTGCACCCAGCGCCTCGCGCGTCACTTCGCATCCTTCACTGGCGAAGCCGCGGTGCACAGGGCCGCGGCGCGCCGGGCGGGTGGCCTCGCCGATGTGCCCGATGAAGCCCGGAAGAAGTTGAGGGGGGCATGGTTGGCTTGGCGCATCGTCGTGCGCACGCACCAGCGCTACGCAGCGAAGAGCTTGGGCGTCCCTGAGAAAGAAGTGAACCTGTCCATGGACCCGGCCGACCTCGCCGTCAGCGTCAGCCCGTGGTACGAGGATTTCATGCTGCAGAGGCGCATGAGCAGAAGGCCGAAGATCCACGCCATCGTTGTTTTCGATGGCAATGCTAAGCTCCGTCGGTGGAGGGTCTGCGGACGACCCCTGGCATCGCTCATTCACTCGCGCCGGCTGGGGAAATTCACGGCCATTTCGTGCCCAGAGACTCGCGCGAGAGGTAGTCGGCATTGCCTGAAGCATCAGTGCAAGGAGCAATGTGCCCGACGTGTGCGAGGCAAGCAAGCGGCGCCCGACAAGGTCGTCGCGCACCGCAAGACGGAAGCGCTCCTCGACGCGGCGGACGCACAGGCGTACCAAGTGGCAGTAGTCCGCGGGGGAGCGGAGGCTGGCGGTGCGCCACAGCGGCAGTGGGTCTGCGCCGGATCTGTCGGCAAACTCGCTCTGTCAGAGTACTGGTCCAAGTGTTGCGGATACGTGACTTTGGCATCCGACGAGGCCGCGCTTGGTGCGACTGGGTGTCAGACTCACAAGGAAGCGGTGAAAGGCCGATCGCTCGCGCAGCGCTCCGGGGGCTGGCTGGTGGCGTGCGACCCGGACGGGTACATCTTACACATGAAAGAGTTCTACGGCACGGAGAGCTTGTCTCAGAGGTACTTTTTCCTGGCCGAGCTGCGGGGAATCATGGACTTCAACGTCTCGGTGCACGATGACTCCTGCCACCTCCGGAAGTTCGCGGGTGCGCGGGCACATGAGTCGGCGGCGGCGGCTGAGCTCGCATACCCCGCGATGCATCACATTACGGACCGCCTCCACGCGAAAGGGCACGTGGACGAGTGGTGCCTGGCAAATTGCCACCCATATGTACCTGAGAACGCCGCGCTTCTCAAGGGGGTGAATTCTTCCATCTGCGAGCAGACGTTCCGTGTCACGAACAGGTACAAGTACATGGTGCAGCACGTGCACCGGTGGACCAGCATTATTCTCTTGCACGAATTGGCAGAGGCCCGTAATGACTTGAAGGGCGTCCCTGCTTAGTCTCCGCTGCTCAGGGGGATGGGTACTTCCATCGGTGAGCAGACGCGTCCTGCCGCGCATGCTTAGCCGTGTGCGCGATGCAAAAAGCCAGCATAGCGCTCTGCGGAGGACGAGGGGCAGCGGCATCGTGAGCATCAGCAGGACCAGAATGTTGATGGGGCTAGACGAGGATCAGGCGAGGGTTGGAGGATGGGGGGCGCAGGGCAGAGGCAGTCCGCGCGTGGGCTCTGGCTTCGTTGGTGGCACTTCCGACAATACTTCTACAGGCCCGGTGGGGGGGGCCGGAGGGGGGGGGGGGTTCCTGGGGACTTCCCGTGCGGCATGTGCGAACTCGCACTTCAGTCGTCGACGCCCTCGTCGTCGGCGGTCGGGGCGCGGCTCCGCCCCGTGGAATGGACAACTGATACTATACGACAACCCTTCGGGTGGTAAGGAGGTTGTGTGTGTGTGCGCGCGTGTGTGTGTGTATGTGTGTAGGGGGGGGGGGCGGGGGCGGGGGACGGGGGCGGCGGAAGGAACGAACTGATGACAACTGCGATGACTGAGACAATGCTTCTTGGTGAAGACGCACACGCAACGACTCTGGATCTCACTACCGATCCCACTACGTATCAATCCCACTATCCATCCGACTCTGGGTCCATCCACGCCGCGAGACCGCGTCACCACGACAGCACGACACCACATCACGACACCACGACACCACGACACCACGACAGCGCGACACCACGACACCACCCTACGACACCACGACAACACAACACGACACCACGACATCACACCAAGACACCACGCCACCACGACACAACGACACGGCGACACCGCGGCACCACGATGCCACCACACCACACCACGACACCACGACTCAACACCACGATATCATGGCACCACACCACGACACCGCGACACCAAGACACCACACTACGACACCACACCACGACATCACGACACCGCTACGCCGCGTCACCACGACACCGCGACGCCACGACACCACGACACCACGTCACCACGACACCGCGAGACCACACCACGACACCACGACACGACGCCACCACGACGCCACGACACCACACGACGACGCCACGACACCACGACACCACGACACCGCAACACCGCGTCACCACGACACCACACCACGACACCACGAGACCTCGGCACCACACCACGACACCACGACACCACACCACGACACCACGACACCACGTCACCACGACGCCACGTCACCACGACACCACGACACCACACCACGACACCATGACACCACACCACGACACCACGACACCACGACACCGCGAGACCGCGAGACCGGGTCACCACGACAGCACGACGCCACACCACGACACCACGACACCACACATCGCGACACCGCGACACCACATCACGACACCACGCCACCACGACACCACGACACCGCGACACCGCGTCACCACGACCCCACGACACCCAACCACGACACCACGAGACCACGACGCCACGACAACACGACACCACGACACCGCGACACCACGACACCGCGCCACCACGGCAATACGACACGACACCACGGCATCACGACACCACGACACCACGACACCGCGACACCGCGTCACCACGACACCACGACACCACACAACGACACCACGGCACCACGAGATCACGACGCCACGACACCACGACACCACGGCGCGACAATCCCAGCCATCGCGTAACAGCCCGGGGGGAGCCAAGAGTCCGTCCGCGGCCTCCCGAGAGGAGGGTTCATTCCTCTTGCCGGCCCACGCAGCTTCGCCTCGCCCGCGCGCACGAACGCGAAACCGAAACCGATTTCCCGGCGGGGGGCTTTCCGTTTTACTGTGATCTCGCCCCCCCCCCCGCCCCACCTCCGATATTAGTCATAGAGACGGAGGTCGACGAGGATGAAGAGGGGGCGGGAAAAAGGATACGTGGACGGGGAGGAGGGAGGAGAAACACGACGAAGCACA